ACACACACACACACACACACACACACACACACACACACACACACACACACACACACACACACACACACACACACACACACACACACACACACACACACACCACACACACTCACACACATACCCTTTCTGAATCAGAAACTTTGGGGGTGAGGCCCAGGCATCACTCTGTGGTTTAACAAGCCTTCCAGGTGTTTCTGATGCTCACTCAAGTTTGAGAAACTCTAGGACACTTCATTGGATCTCGCTGCACAACAGAGAATATTTTTGCTAAGCAACAGTTTGGAGAAAGTGCCTAAATGGATGTCATCTGATAGCTTCCTAGCTTGTGGCTCTGACTTAACCTCCCCTGCTGCACCTCTGTTGACACAATAATTCAGTGAACTTATTCCCAGGTCTGTCTTTGTCTACTCTCTCCCAACTCCACGGAGCATTTGCCCTTTCCTCTCCCTCTGAGCAGTCTTAGCACACATCTTAAATTTTATTCCCTCCTGAATGCCCTCTACCCTTTTCCCCCACTTCTTTCTTCCAATAGAAAATAGGTGCACATTGCATTCATTTTGGTCATTCTTACAGCTTTTGTATTCTCCTTGCCTCCTATTTCTTATGGGTCCTTGGGCAAGTAACTTAACCTTTCTGTTTCCTTATCTGCAAAATGTGAATAATAACAGTGCCTACTTCATTAAGTGAGTGAGTACTTGTTGACGTGCTAATACTCAGCAAGCATCAATTCTAAAAGTAATTATTTGTCATTTGCAGCAACATGGATGGACCTGGAGATTGTCATGTTAAGTGAAGTAAGCCAGAAATAGAAAGAAAAATACCATATGATATCAATTATATGTGGAATCTAAAAAAATAAACTTATTTACAAGACAGAAAAAGACTCACAACATAGAAGACAAACTTACAGTCACCAGGGGAAAAGGGGGGGGGATAAAATAGGAATTTGGGCTTTGCAGATACTATTATATATAATATAAACAAGGTTTTACTGTATATCACAAGGAACTGTGTTCAGTACCGTGTAATAGCCTATAGTGAAGACAAATAAAACTGAATTGCTATGCTGTATACCAGAAATTAACACAGCGTTGTAAACTGACTATACTTACAATAAAAAATAAAAATAAAGTATTATTCATAGCATTAAATAATGGATATATAATATTCTATAGTGTCTGGCACATAAATACTCAACAGTTGTCAGCTTTTCTCACTAGTGATTTTAGGGCACTAAGCATTTTGCAATTTTAGTAGTTGTCTTTATCCTCCCATTAGTTTAAAGCCCTTTGACAACAGGTAATTTTTCTTCTCAGCTGTGAATCTCTGTGTCTCCCAAAGTACCTACTATATGCTCAGTGCATACTTACGGGATTATACAGAACTCTGCAGGCAGTGCAGGCTAAGAGGTCCCACAGGAGCCCTTCCTGAGCATGTCCCCCGTGGTCCCCTTCTTTGGGGTTGTGCCTTCGATCTCAGGCTTCTTGATAATATCATCCTTCTTCAAGGTCCTAAAGGAAGCAAGTGGATCTGGGTACCCAGCTCTTGAGTCCAGTGGACTAGACACTCTGCCTGGGATACCTCTCCTTCAGATAGCTAGGTTCATCCAAAAATTATCCAGAATGGCCTAGATAGATCTCTGAGCCATGTTTCTGACTCCTCGCCAAACAAATGAAATTCCTTTTTTTAATTTTATTTTTGATTGAAGTGTGGTTGATTTACAATGTTAGTTTCAGGTGACCAGCAACACGATTCAGTTATACATATACCTACATATATATTTATACATATGTTTTCAGATTCTTTTCCATTATAGGTTTTACAAGAAAATGAATATAATTCCCTGTACTATACAGTAGGTCCTTGCTGTTTATCTGTTTTATAGTAATGTGTCTATGTTAATACCAAACTCCTAATTTATCCCTACCCCTCTTCCCGCTTTGGTAGCAGTAGTTTGTTTTCCATGTCCGTGAGTCTATGAAATTCCTTTTTAATGCAAGGTACCCAGGACGCCTGCCGTAGTCAGTCCCCCAGTGCTGCCGGTTTTATTCCTTCAGTGCTTCTCCAATGCATCTTATTCCTGCCTCTTCCTGACTTTAGGTCCTCATCACCCTCATCATCTCTCTCTTAGACTACTGCAGTGGTTGTTCAGCTGGTCTCCCTGCCTCTAATATTCCTCTAATTCCTGCCTCTAATTCCCTTGGCAGTAAGAACACGTCAGTGAACATGTTCACTGTTCTTAAAATAACCCCTGAGTGGCATCCCCTTGCCTGCAGAAGAATGTCCAAGCTCCTGTGCATGGCCTAGGAGGTTCTCCATGTCCCAGAAACAGTGCTTCTCTGGCCTCATCTCCTGCTGTTCCCCACCTTGAATTCTGTGCTGAGGTCAGACTGCCTGTAGTTCCCCACGTGGTCCTTTCTGTTTTATGCCTTCAAACCTTTGCTCTGCCTTTGGTGGTCCAACATACTCTCTCCTCTCTTCCCCTTTAAAACTCAGATGATCATTTCCACCACTTTAACAGAGTCACTTGGTCATTCATTTCTCTTTCTCAAACTAGACTATAAACTCCTTAAAGGCAATGTTCTTATTTTACTTAGCACCCAGCTCATAGTAAGCAGGCAAGATTTTTATTAGAACTGAGAATGCAAAAAGATGTCAGCAAAAGGCAGACCATAAGACTTAACAGGGAGATAAAACTGAACAGGGATATGCTGGGGTTTAAAACGAACAAAGAAAAGGAGTCTTAATCTAAGTCCTGAGTACAAGGTGGGAGATGGATGACTCACCACCATCAGTAGACCGTGTAAAAAAAGAAAGGCCTGTGGTTTCCGTTGACTTTATGCTCCACATGAGTCAATGGTGTGATGCAACTCCAGGAACCTCGTGTCAGAACAGGGAAAGTAACAGTCCTGCTGGCCAGACCACGAGGGAGAGTCATGTTCCATTCTGTGGGGCCATGCCTGAAGAGGGGGTGAGGCATGTCCAAAGGAATGCAGCTTAGAATAGTGAGAGAGGGTGAACCCCATCATCTGGGGAATAGTTGATGGAAGTAGGGTATTTCATCTAGAGGAGAGGGGGTATAATAGCTGTAATTCAAATGCCTAAAGCTGTACACCAGAAATTGACACATTGTAATTGACTATACTTCAATTTTTAAAAAATGCCTAAAGGGCTCATAGGGAACCTCAAAATGTAGAATTGGGCCACTTAGTGAAAACTCCAAAAAGAACTTTGTGACAGTTAGATCTGCTAATAATGAAATAGTCTGTCTTGTCAGCTCCAAGTCACGGTGCAGGTCAACCAAGAGCCTCTGAGAAGAGGTACCAGAGAGAGGATCTGAGCCCCTGAAGGAAGTTTGGAATAGATGTTCTTTTACCCTGCCCAACTTTGAGGCTTGAGGATTCAAGAGGTCACTGAGTTTATGTTTATGAAGTGTTAGGGAGGGGTGCTAGGAGCACATCTTCTGATAGGAGTGCCTTTTGTCACCCTAAGGGAAAAATTATGAATTACCTAAATAGAAAGTACTTCTGAGCCAAAAGTCTGAATCTTTGTGGGCTAGTCACTTGTTACATGGTTCATATGATACCTACTCAGGAAGGACATGGGATAGTCCCACCCAGGGTATCCTGAGCCTTGCATGTTCCCCCATGTCCTTTTGTGGAACCATGAGTTAAATGATTACCTCTTTCTCTTTGCTTTTCTTGCTTTTTAGTTCTGGAGCATCTTGGCCTCTGGGAGGAAGTCAGAAGGATCATCTCAGGATCAGAGCTGATAACGGGATTCCCATATACCTTCACAGCACCAGGCCTGCCCCAGTACCTCCAGAGCCTCACCAAACTGGCCATCGCTGCTGTGTGGGCCGTGGCCACCCAGGCTGGAGAGCAGACTAGGGACGTTCCAGTCTCCTTCTCTCAGCTTTTAGAGTCTTCCTTCCCTGAAGTCCGCCTGCTGACGCTGGAAGCCCTGTTGGAAAGGTTCTCGGCAACAGCCTCTGGATTAGGAGAGAAGAGACTGCTGCCCTTGCTGCGGAATATGGGAGGGACATTCTTGACGTTGGTTATGAAGGAAAACCACCCGGAATGCCTCTGCAAGGTGAAGTCTACGGTGTATGGTATCCTGACCGTCCCTTTCCACTCCCCACATGCTTTGGTGAGCCCACTAGAGAGATAAGCTCCTGAGACAGCGTTGGATCTGGTGTTTCCAGGAGCAATAAGAAGGAGATTCAGCATCTTGAGGGCAAGGACTCTCTTGTGTGGCACTTGGCGTGGCTTCACGTGTAAAAGGGTGCTGAAGAAAGTGTTTGATGATAATGGTATTGATGACAGAGATTGAGAGAGTAAGCCACTCAGTGCCCAAGGAGACAGAGCATTGAAAATAGCTGTAGAATGGGCCAGAGGGTAGTCTTTGATGGTGTGGCTCTTTGGGGGCAGATGGTCACCTGGAAAGCATGATCAAAAGGAAAGGGCACTGACCTAGGAAGCTGGGCGTGTAGACTCTGCTCCCAGCGCACCTCTACTCCACCTGTCTGGGTCTCCCAAAGGTATTAAGGAGGAAGAAAGAACTCAGTGGGAGCTTTTCAAAAGATAGACTCTCTTATCAATACACGTGATTATTTTATAGATTCTGGAAACTTTTTCCTGAAATGTTTGCTTGTTTGTTTTCCATTGATCTGACGCACACAGATACTGAGAATTCTCCATTGCATGGACCCCAGTGAGTGGCTTCCTCAGACAGAGCACTGTGTCCATCTAACCCCAAAGGAGTTCTTGATCTGGACGATGGATATTGCTTCCAATGAAAGGTTTGCCCCCAGTGTTTCCTGTGCAAACTCGGTACAACACATGATCCTGTCAGTCAGTTATGTAATGAACTTGAGCACAGTCCTGGCCTAAGGACCAGGTCCAGTATTTCTCTTAAGTCTCAGCCTATGTTCTAAGCCCAAGCAATAGAGTGATGTCAGAGTTTCCCATTCATAACCAAAAGGTAATTGCTTCTGGAGGTGTTTGTACAGCCCCGAGGCAGAGATTTCCACCCGTGTGGATTACAGACTATCTGCCAAAACCATCTGTATATAAAATGTTTGACTTCATTTTTTCATATTTATTTATTGAAGTGTAATTGACTTACAATATTATATTAGTTTCAGGGTAATTTTATCTTTTGTGTGTTGTTTGGCTGACTTTTCTAGGTCTGAAATTCAAAGTGAAGCTCTGAGACTTGCCTCCAAAGTGATCGCCTACCACATGCAGATGTGTGAGGAGGTGAGACTGATTCCCTCTGTTCTGGGGTTTCAGTGCTCTGATTTCCCTGGAAGGTTGTCAGTAAAAGAGAACCATCCCACTGGCAGTATCCCTGTGGCCTGTGTGTGCGTAGCTTCTTCAAAAGTATTGTTCGTGTTGATTTTTCACTTTGGGTATAACTTGGAAAGAATTTTCTGAGCCCTGTCTTTGGCATTTCTTTTCTCTTGTTTCTGGCACATCTGGTTAGAGTCCAAGAGGGTGGCACAACCTTCTTCCCCTCCCCCTACCCCACATACATACATATACCTATGCCTAAACTCCTTGTTTTTTCCTATTTTTCTAGCTAGACTCTTTATTTAAAGAGGGAGTGAGCAAGTCACTAGGATTGCATCCTAGTCAACTAAGTGTGAAAATATATCACTAAGGCTTAAATATCGCCCCCAAACATGGCCCAGGTGGCTCTGCATAGAGACCCAGATGTGCCCCACCTGCCTTACATGTCTTTCGGGGTGAGGTGGAACTAAAGTCATCATAGCTGCCTGGGAAGATGCCTTAAGACACAACCGTGCATACTTAAGGCATATGAGAAAGGGGCCACCATCAGAGAATTACTATAAGTAAAAGGCAGTCAGTACCCCAATTAAATTACCTGAAGATCTTGGTTACACATCACCACCCTGTCACAGACACTGGCATCATAACATTGTGGATTCCGATTCCTTTCGCTGAAGCAGCACTGAAAGAGGTACTAGAGATACGATGATGAACCAAACAGGGGTGGGGGACAGTTTAATGAGAGAAAAGGAGCGTCAGATCACGTGGGAATCCAGAGGAGGGAGGGTGTGTTTACAGAGCTGAGGAGGACTTCACAGAGGAGACTGTTAAGCTCAGAGAGCCTGGGGCTGGGCGGAGAGACAATCCGAGGATGAGAATTAAGCAGATACACAGCTTCCTTGGGTCTGTCATTCAGAGGCAGGCCAGGGGGCCCAAGCAGGTGGTCACAATGAGATAAAAACAAACAAATAAAAAAGTCATGTATGTGTTTTGGGGAGGGCAGGAGGAGAGTCTGTAGGAAGGAAGAGGATTTGCTAAAAAACTACAGCTCAGAGGAGGAAAAAACAAGCCTGAGAAAGTAGTCACAGGGCAGCCTAACATGTCTGCCGGAAGACTCGTTCTTATCTAAAGCTGTTTTTAACCAGTTGTCATGTGCACCTTAAAGGCGCTGCTTGGTACTTGAATGAAGTGATATTTGAAGAAAATTGAGTTTTTCCAGGAGAGAAAAATTAATAAAACTGCAGAGAGACACATAAAAGACGTTCCCAGGAAAACCTGGGGTTTTTTATGCCTTAGAAGTCAGCAGCTCCCTCAAGATCTAAGATGCTGATCACTTTAGTTCCACAGATGCCCATCTATGATCAGAAGAGTCAATAGTCTCATTCTGAACATCTAAAGAGGCTCAGTTAATAAGGGAAGTAAAATATATTTGGAACAGTAATCCCCTTTCTAGAAAAAGTCCAAAACAAAACAAAAACACAGAGTTTAAAAGATGGAAACAACCCAAATGTCCATCAGTTGATGAACAGGCAAACAAAATATGGTATATCTCAAGAATGGAATATTATTTAGCCATTAAAACTAGTGAAGTATGATACAGCCTACAGCATGGATTACCCTTGAAAACATGCTAAGTAAAAGAAGCCAGTCACAAAAGACTGCCTATTGTATGGTTCAATTTAAATGAAATGTACAGAATAGACAAATTCTTAAAGGCAGAAAGGAGATTAATGGTTTAGGGCTGGGGGAGGGGGAGCCGACTGGATGGGGATGATAACTATTTTAAAATTGACTGTGGTGTTGGTAGTATACACGTATCTGTGAATATACGAAAAAAATCATTGAATTATGTATTTAAGTGGGTGAAATTATATGGTATGTGAATTATATCTCAATAAAGCTGTTCCTGTTAAAAAACAATAGGGCTTTGTTTAAACAATAATGTTAGTTAAGATACTGGTTTAAGTGTTGTAATGGAAACACATAAATACTGCGGCTTAAACGAGGTAGAAGCAGTCCAGAGCAGATAGCGGCTTGACAGTGTTGGGCCCCCAAGCCCTTTTGCCTTGTTGTTCTGCTGTCCTCAACATAGCTTCCATCTTATCATCCCAGATGGTTGCTCCAGCTCCCATCATTTTGTCCTTGTTCAACTAGCAGGAAGGAGAAACCCAGGAAGTGAAAGTCACACCTATTTCCTCAGGCATGACCTGAAAGAGCCACGGATACCACTTTTAATGGCATCCCATTGGTCAGAACTTAATCACAAGTTACTCCCAAATGCAAGGGAGCCTGGGAAATGTAGTCTTTAGCTGAGTGCCCACATGCACAGGCAAAAATCCAGCATTTTGTTACTAAAGATAGAAGGAATATCTGGTTATCAGGGACAACAGCTATTATTTGCTGCATAGTCTTTCCCCAAAAGTTTTGTCTTTACTGAAGCTATCAAATACACCAGTGTTGTGATAACATGATTTACCTCAGAAAAGACTCAAGGAACTTGCTCTCTAGTTATAGTGACTCCGTATCGCTGAAAAACAAGTCAGATTTTCTCCCCTGGGCTTGTTTATTTCTCCCTAGTTGGGATGGAAAAGCAACTAATAAACCGTCGTTCCTTCCTCCTGCACGAGGAGCGAACGTGCGGATCCAGTGTGGTATGTGCAACTCATCCCTAGTTCCATGACTGCCCACGATTGCATCTTCTGAACTGCTGTATGTACGTTTTATGTTTTTAGACCAGGGACTTGGTGGCCCCCACCCTGAAGCAGTGGGCTCAGTTGGTCGTCACTTCCTGTGGAGATCATCTTCCCAAGGAGTCCAGGCTGGCCACCGCTGAAGTTCTCACCAGCACCGCACCATTTTTCCTCACCCACCCCTGTCCCATTCTTGGTAAGTGTGCTGAGCCGAGGGTATGTCCATTCCACCAAATGCATTGAAAGCGTGAATATAGATGCTCTAGGTTAAAAAAGAAGGGAAGATGAAAGATGACAGGGCACACCAAAGCTTTTCATCTTCCAAAGATAGTTTCACCCTCTCAGTTCCTACTCTAATCACTTTTCACCAACAGCCTCTTAACTGGCCTCTTTTCTTTCAGGCTTGTGCCCCGAGCCATTCTCCATATGCTTCCAAAAGCCTCTCTGTGGTCTTTCTGAATTACAGATCTGAGCATTTCCCTCCACTGCTTAAAGCCTTTGAGTGTGTTGCCATTGCCATCAGGATAAAATCTCAGCTCTCCTTAGCATGACTCATAAGGCCCTTCTTCCTCTTCTGTGCCCCACCCTCTTGTCCTTCCTCATCAGCTACCACTCCCCATGCATCATCAGCAGGGAACAGTTCTCTAAACAAACTGCTGCTTGACTGACTTATGTTTGTCTTCCAAGACTTGGTCTAACCATCACCTCTTCCAGGAAGCCTACTGCAGTGGTCTTGGGGAGAAATCAGTGGGTCAGTGTGAAGACATGGCCTTGAGGAAGAAGAAAGGCCAGGCTCAAAGGCACTTAGGAAGTAGAATTAACAGGACCTGGTGTTGAGGTTCATATAAAGGAACCTTCAAGGATGACTTCCAGGCTTCCCACTTAAGTGACTGGAAAGACTGCAGATTCCTTTCACTGAAATTAGCTTTAAGTTCAAGGCATCTTTGGGAAACAAAGGTAGAGCTATTTTGAAATCAAATGGATGTACAGATCCAGCCAAATTCTCCACCTGCATGTCTCTTTCCTCACTGCCACCCCCTGTCCTTCAAGAGTAATGATTAGGAAAGAGCATTGTATCAATGGTGTTTGAGAAAACCAAGCTTTAGGAAATCCGAAGGAACTGAAAATGCATAGGGGTTTTTGTCTTATTTTGTTTTGTTTTAACTTAAAAAATGTTTTTTTTTAATTGTAGTGTTTTGTTTCAAGCATAGAGTTCAATAGAAGGAAAACCCAGGACCCAAAGCCATGTCCTCACCCTGCCCTCTCCTGCCATCTTATCTCCCCATGTTATGGGCTGGGACTCTCTTCCATCCATCACCAGAATTCTGGTTTTGTTCTCTGTTTGCCTGGCCTTGGAGAATAAACCGTGGTCCCTACATCCAAGGAGCTTGCCGTGTAGTTGTGGAGAAAGGATTTACAGAATAAGGGAAATAACTGCTTTTTTAGATGGTAAGACTCAAAATTTTAGTGTTATCGGGGGTCAGACCAATGAAGACAGTCATGAGACAGTCCCTGGATCTCTCTGCTGTTGTCTTTGATATCCTTTTAAATCTTTCTTCTAAGTGACTGCCAGGCACTTTTTTCCCACACCCAAAGAGGGCTGAAAGGGGACCTGCTACAATTGTGATTTGATCTTGGACCCAGAGGAATAAGAGCAAAGGTTTATAAACTTTGGTGAAGCCTCTCCAGGGAGGGTAATGTCATTTTGCAGCACATTTTCTGGGTGACTTTGGCTGCTCTAACCCAAGCTCATATCAGGCACATCTGTGTAGAATAACGTGGAATTCCTGAGAGAAACTGAGTCCTGGGCAAAAACCATTGGCTCATCATTAATTGCTGGAGCTGGTTAGAGCATCACAGGCAGTGAGGAAGGAGGTTGGTGGCAGCTGATGGCCTTCAGGAGCAGTGGGTACAGGACTGAGAGGCAAAGGACATGAAAGTGCGTGGGGATAAGTCAAGGACAGAACAAAATCATTTAGAGGAAAAGAAAAATTGAAATGGACTAAAGAGGGAAGACTGAGGACCTTAGGGTTATCAGAAACTATTAAGAAAGGAAAATATTAAGCCCTAGAGAGTAATTAGAATGGAGATGTTCTGAAAGTCTGAGTAAAATTTAAAGCCAGATTTATAACAGACAAGAGAGAACAAACCCTAGAGGGAGCCACTGGTGTTCTTGGTATGACTGAAGTGTTGCTGTCTCTGATAGCAGGCTCTCCGTGGACAGATGAGGGAGAGGGAGGCTGAGGAGAGTTCCCAGGACAGGGTTGGTTCCCCATCGAAAGGCTAGGGGCGATGAGTGGGGGTCTTCCACGGTGACCCATTGCACCCAGACAGCATGTGTCCTTCCTTTGAGGCCCTGCCCACCTCTCACCTCCCTCATGCAGTCGGCCTCCGTTAAACCATCCCCAGGGACCTTTCCCTGCGGCAGGTCACAGCCACGCATTTCCGGCCCTGCCTTCTGCTTGAGTTGTGTGAGGTGTCCTTGATGTCCCTCTCAGTTGCTCAGGGCAGACACTGTTCCTGTTCAGTCATCCCCAGCAGCACCAAGCACAGGGACTGGCCAGGGTCCCTGCCCGGGGTAATGGCCATCAGATAGTGGCCCCATGTGGACGTGGACAGGCTGGCACCTTTATTGTGGACCTTTGCTTTTTTTCAATTCTTGCCTCCCCGCCATAATGCATGATCTTGATTGAAACTTGGCTTTCAGAACTTATAAGCTCAAACACTCACTCAGAACAACACTGGGTTGGTTTCCCCAAAGCACTCTTGATGCGTAAAGTTTCATTCCTGAGAAGCATGAGTCATTGTGGACAGCTGGGCCTTAGTCAGCGAGGCCACACCTTCTGGGGGTACTGCCTGCAGCTCGTTGCCTCCAGAAGCCTTTCCCTTTCAAAAAGATGTTTCCAAACCTGCCCCCTTGGGCACTCTCTCTCCAGCCTTTATCTGACTCGCAGGTCTCCCTTTCTTGTAATATCCACAAAAAAAGGAATAGTCGTTGCTCATTAAATCCTGGATTTGAATCTGTATCTCTTCCTGCTTGTAAATTGCATCCTAGGTAATTCGAATTCCTCTTGACCTTCATAGGACTGCAGGATACACTTGCTCTCTGGAAGTGTGTCCTCACCCTCCTGCAGAGTGAGGAGCAAGTCATCAGACATGCAGCCACAGAAACTGTCATGACCGCCTTGTCTCAAGAAAACATCTGCCAGTCAACAGGTACCTCGTTCATAAATTCTTTTTTCGGTGCCTTATTGCTCTTGGACAGGGGTTGGCACACTTTTACAGTAAAGGGCTGGAGAGTGAATGTTTTAGGCCTCGTTAGCCATTCAGTGTCTGTCTCAGCTCTGCCATTTTAAACAATAGGTAAATAAGTGGACATGACTGTGTTCCAATAAAACTTTATTTACAAAAGCAGGCAGCTGCCCAGATTTGATCTGCAAGTCACAGTTCATTGACCCCTGCTCTAGGACATCATAGATAAAAATTGTTTTCGAAGATAGAAATCTAATAAACAGTGCCTGATGTTAGTTACAGCGTCATCCTTTTAAAATCAGGCCAGGTCTTGATTATCTACATAGTTACATAATCCAGGAATCATAGAGCCATATTTGTGTTTCCTCCATGAGTTTCTACACGTGTCAGAAACAGGTGAGTTTGTTTGTGCCTTGGCTCCCTGTTTGGTGGTGAAGTTAACCCAGAGAGGAGGGGTGTGGAAAGAGGAGCAGCCTAGACAAGTAGTTCTGCAAGTGATGTGCAAGCAGCCTTCTCCCCACCCCTGTCCCAAGCTGTCAAAGTTCCTGATACCCCAAATTCTGCCATTAGTGATTCATTCCTTTTTTCTGATTGTGCATTTTCCTTAGAGAGACACACACAGCACACACAGCACACACAGCATCCAGTGAGGGCTCAGTATACATTTAGTGAACTCTAATACTCACTAGATTTCTACAGGACCCTCTCCACCAAAAATGGGAAAGATCATTTCATGATGGAATTCATAAGTGGACCTCTTCCCTTCTAATCTATAAAGTTTTTGCCCTACTGCTTTTATCTGTTTCAGAATTTTTCCAGGTTAATTTATAGTAAAACTATATTAACATATTCTCTCTCCTTCTGGTTTGAATTTCTTTTCAAGAAATTGAAATCAATCATTATATACTGAGTGCCTTGTGCGTGCGTGTAAAGTTCCATATGTGAAAGCCTCTGAGGGAATAATTAATGTAAAAGGCCACTTACCTATCTTTGTAGTCCCCATCTTGGTCTATAACTGAGGATTTGAGGTGTGGAAAAAAACAAGAATTCTATAACAGCTAAATGTTACCCTGGACCAGAACCTGTACTGGAAGGGTGAAAAGCCATACAGGAGATGATTAGAATAACTACTGAATATTGTCTGTAGGTTAAAATCAATATAAAATTTCCTGAATTTGATAACAGTACTGTGGTCTCGTAAGAGGGTATTTTTATTCTTAGGAAATACACAACCGAAGTATTAAGAGAGAAAGAGGTACACCACCTCCAAATTACTCTCAAATGGTTCAGAAAAAAATAAGACTATGTGCACATATAAATAGTAAAGACAGATAGGGAGGTGGTAAACTTGCATCTTTTCTGTGTGTTTAAAATTATTTCAAAATAAAATGGTTTTTTAAAAAAATCCATTCTGCGACTAGAAAAGACTAACATAATGTGTATTGATAGACCATTCGGCCCCAGTGTGACTCCTTTGCCCTAAATTATATGAAAGCATCCTGCCCCCGCCTTAAACTCATTCTGAGTGAATTTTTGCATCCGAAAAACCAAACCCAAGCTACATTCCTCAGATTTAGGAATCTCAGCAGCATGGTGTCACTGTGTGGGGACACTGGGTCAACGTGTCCCTGCATGTTCTCTGTTCTGCCTGATAGCAACTCGGAGACAGAGCCTCCGTAATACAGCGGGATTTTCTCAAGCAAAAAATGCACATCCTTCTGCCTTAGACTGAAAAGTAGCTGAGGACTGAGCATCACTCCTGATTTTTCACTTTAGTCAGAAGTTGAGCCAGCTGATTGATCAGATCAATATTATCTTGTTTTGACATCTTGCAAGGATATCAAGCAGTTGATGGCAAGTTTCCACATTCCTCCAGCACACAGGAGTTTTGCAGAATACCCTACTAATGGTTTGCACTTGGGTGTTCCAAGTTCATTATTACTACTGAGTCTTGAATACTTTGAAAATACATCATTAATTTTGTCCTCAAATCAGTGGTTTTAATAAGTGCCACAGTAAAATAATATTATTAAATTATGTTAATATTGAATATCTTCTTTGAGAAGTCTAAATATTGTTAAATTAATTCTTACTCTTCCTCTAAGAAAGAAATAAAACGTGAGAACACCTTGCCTCTGAGATCCCATCCTGTAAATGAGGGCTGGATGTGGACAGAACAAGCTTTGTAGTCATACTAACAGCCTGCTGGGGATGTGGAAGTTGGAGTTGCATTTTGACTGTGAGGTGTAGGGAGGTTCCCGAGAGTGGAGCTGGCCCAAAGGAAGGGATAAACAGCACACAAATAAGAGTGCTGGGACGCAGAAGGAAAAGCTGAAGCCAAATGCATAGTTGGGGGCAACTCAAGAGCTGACTGGGGAGCAGCAAGTTGATTTGTGTGGCCAGAACACAGGCTGAGGCCAGAGGAGCAGAGCAGGAGACAGAGCTAGAAAGGCAGGAGCAGCCACACTTGGGATGGTTTGAATGCCAAGCCAAGGACCCCCTCCTGTAGGTGAAGGGAGGCTGGAGTTGGTTTCAAATGGGGAGTAATACTGCCTGGAGCGTGGGTTGGAGGAGGGCTTTCTGATGGCAATGTGTGAGATGGATCAGGGCTGGAGGCGCGTCCCCCTGAGCTGCCATCAGCGGTGACAGGCTGGAGAGAGCATGGGGGCAGAGCTAAGAGGATCTGGGTGCATGTGCTTGTGGGAGGTGGGAGAGAAGGGAAAGTGGAGATGACTTCAAGGTTGCAAACCTGTGAGACATCCAGGGGAAGCACCTGGACTTGCCTCTGGCACTGACATAGTGGTGGGGCTATCGCGTTCCAGGAAGTGAAACTACCAGGAATCGGGAAAGGCACTTGGAGGCCACAAGTCACCGTGATCTGGGACAGAGTATTCTTTAGGCCTTGGAGAGATCAGCAACGGAAAGTGAGAGGGCAAAGGGGACCTTTATCTGCTGGAGGAACAGAGTGAACTGTCCGCTCATTCCCGCCCTTTCCAGCACGCTGCCCAGTGCCCCTGGGAGCCCCGGCCCTCCTCCATCCGGCCAGCTGTTGGTGCCAGTGGCACTGGCTAGAGAACATCGAAGAAGAAGCCAGCATGAAACCAGTCACTTTGCACACAGCTGACTTTCAGCAGAGATTTGTGGTGTGAATTAGTTGATGGTTCTGGGAGGCCTGGAGGAAATAACTCAGTGTTAGGTAGCCCTCATGAGGATGGATTTGCTCTTGACCTTCTCTGCCTGCTGAGTTCTTCTGCTGTCCTCCCACATGTGCCTCACCGCACGTGGTCACCTGGGAGGTGGAACTCAGAGCCTATGAACTACCCTCTGAGCACCCCCTGAGGCTCCCTCAGCTTTGAAGTATGACTTAAGGAAGCCACAGCATCGAGACCCTCCCCACCCCTTACCCAGCCCCTCACACACACCAGTCACGGGCACGCCGAGAGGAACAGAGGAAATGGCACATCTAAGACTCAAGAGGTGGGGCTTGAAATTCACAGCTGGGAAGAGAAAGTGTATGGGCTGGACTCCAGGTGGGGCTCCACCTTTCTTCTGTCCCTGCTCTGACTTGACTTCAAGCCTTGAAATGCTCGGAAAGAGCTGTGGTTTCCAGAGCAGGAGACACTCGAGGCCATCAACTTGGCTGCTCCCGCTTCCCTGGGCTTGCTTCCTGCTTCTGCCCGAGCAGCTCACTCCTGTCTGTCTGTCTCACACACTCACATATCAGAGTTCATTTGAACAAGGGCTTCCATGTGAGGCAAAAACCAAGCTGGACAGTATTTAAATTTTAATCACTAAATTTGTGTGATTCTTGAGGGAGGCAGACGGAGTTCTGGGTGGAAGCAGCAGAGGTACAAGCCCCTTTAGGAGGAGATAGAGGATGAAAGAACAGCTTTAACCACCACACCCCCCCAAATCTAGAAGATGGCTAGAATTCAACAATTCAGGGTTATTCTGTAGCCTTTCTTTTCTGTAGAATCTTTTGTCTCTTATATGGGGTCTTTGCTGGGTCTAACTTGATACCCTGGCTGCAGACTTGAGGACTCCAGGACCACAGGACAGGTGGCACAGACCCCAGAGTTCCCACAGGGATGGCTAGAGCTGGAGGCCCACGGATGGAACCCCACATGCTCACCCTGAAGAGGTGAGGACTCTGCGACCTGGAGTAGCCGGTTGAGGGGTCAGGCAGGGGGCTGGCCTTCCGAAGCCCCCTCCTCGGGCTCCTTGCCCTCTCCAGTGCCAGCTCTCCCTCCATCCTTCCTCGTCCAGCTTCAGCCAGGGTTTGCCCCCTAATTCAGGTGGCCTCCTCTCTTTCCCCGTTTCTGTGTATAAGATTCATAAAGTTTCTGATACCAACAGTTGCTTTAGTTGATGCAGGATAAGAAAGAGAATCCAGTTAACGAAGAATTTTAAGGCGCTCTAGACCTTAAACCCATTGTCAGAATTTAAGTTCACAAAGGATGACTTCTTGGTAGAAACTTTTTTTTAAGCTATAATTGACATTTTTGTGGCATTTTATGGTAAAAACTTTCTTATGGAAAAAAACATAAAATTTAAGAAAGAAAGAGACATACAGAGCAGGAGAGAGAAGCAAGCACACTTGCCCTCACACTTGTGAGCGATGAGTGGTTCTTCTCCTTGGAGTTCTGGCCCCAAGGAGTTCTGATCCCTCCCTCCCACCACGCCCCTCAGCCGCAAAAACTCCTATCTAACTAATGCTCATTCTGCCAAATACAGATGTTTCGTGGTGACGCATTAAGTCCCACCTTCTCTGCAATGCCCCCGCCCTCCAGGGTCTCCCCTTTCTCTGAGCCCCTGCAGCATTTGGTTATAAAGAGCCCTTGATTTTTCTATTCTTTTATTATTTTCTCTTTCATATACTTGACTGAGTTTTATCTTCCCAGCTAGCCCATGGGCTTAGAGTCTGTCTCCTATTGGTACACAGTGGGTGCTCAATTGGTGTTGAC